TGCCTCTGGTGCCATATAATCTCATCAACGGCCAAGACCATTATAAACTAAAGCTCCTGGAAGAGAACAACGCAGAATGCCCTGACCCCGTGCCAGGCTGCCTTTACCGGGGCACCTGGGAAGGGGCCAGGGTGAGTCTCCCTCCCCTCTCCAAGCAGAGCCCCGGGAGCTGAAAACCTTCAGAACCCAACCTCCATCATGCCCAAGGCCTCTCTCCACACTCTCAGACGAACCTCACCCAAGAGGGGATAAGCTTCACCCAAGAGCGGACCAGCAGGAAAACCCAGGTACGCGGGAACCCATGACTGAGATCTCCAAATCCACTTGGATCAGGACTGGACCTCCTCCCCCCCAGGTTCCCAGTTTTCCAGTAGCTTGGCAGCCACCCCCACAAACTGTCCCAGTGCCGTATAATCTCATCAACAGCCAAGACTCAGAGACGATAAACTAAAGCTCCCGGAAGAGAACGACACAGAATTTCCTGGACATTATATCCTATCCATAATATGGATATCCATTCTATCCCTCTCGGAAAGACTGGCAAGCTACCGAGAGTATTCCGCCCGCACGGAAGAGCCTGGCAAGCTATCCGCTGTGTATTCAATATGCCAAAACCAGTAACTACAACTGGTCTCATGATGGTCAGACTTCTTCGTCAAGATCATGAACGATCGGTTTGAGGCCCTCCATGTTCCCGGAGCGAAGAGATGCCATTGGGCTACACTAGCACGCGACAGGGACAAATGGAGACGTTACTGGCACCCGCTCGAGCAAATCGACGACTAACGGGAAGTTAAGTGATTAAGTGATTAAGTGATATCCTATCATAACAAGCAATACAAAGCAAATCGTCTAGCATTGCCTTTTTGGCAGGTTTGAGTGGTGGTGGAACTGGTGTCAAAATATCGAATGTAACCAAAGTAGAGAGAGAGTGTGGGGGAAATTGTCTGCCACACAGGCAGGGGAAGGGTTGGAACGAGGGGTGGGGGTGGGGAATACTGGGGATTTGGGGGGGGGAAATGTGCACTGGTGAAGGGATGGGTGTTTGATGAGTGCATGACTGAAGTTCAAATAGGGAAGCTTTGTAACTGTATCTCACAGTGAATCAAAAGAAAAAGGAGGGGGAAAAATGATAAAATAAAATTAACATTCTGATTAAAAAAAAGTAATGTGGAGTTCATGCCCAATTCAATCAGCTTAGCCAATGGTTGAATAAATAGCAATACTTCTACATTATTAAAAAAAAAGTCAGTCTTGAGATGGGCTTTTAAAAACTCTGGTCAATATAAATGTTTTAAAGTAACATGAGTTTGTAATAAATAGATTTTGGCTACATAGTACTATAAATCAACATCGATATATACTACGTTATGACTACCACAGAGCTGACTTCTGCCCAGTGCCATACGATTGAAAACCCTTTCACCCAATTCTGTTGCTTGCTTTTTTGGGTCACACCTGGGGTGAGATCACTCTTGGGAGGCTCAGAGTGCCAGGATCAAACCTAGGTTGGCCATATGCCAGGCCAGTGTCCTCCCAGCTAGCTGTACTGTGGCACTGGCCCCACTTTTACTCAATTTATCCACCCTGTCCCCCTTCCTTTGTGATAGCCACTATTTTGTTCTTACAGTCTTAAGATTTTGTTTTGATTTTGCTTTTCCACTTGTTTGCACTTCTGACTTCCACAAAGAAGTAAACCATGTAGTGCGTTTTTTGTTGTTGCTGTTGTTGTTTTTTGGCTTCGTGTGCCGCCCCTGGCAGTGCTCAGGGTTTACTCCCAACACTGCACTCAGGAATCGCTCCTGACATGCTCAGGGACCATACGGGACACCAGGGTTGAACCCGGATCAGCCACAAGCCACGCAAATGCCCGACTCTCTGTGCTATTGCTCCAGGCTGAATGCATGCAGTGCTGTCTTCTTGACTGAGCATAGTACCCTCTCAGTCCAACCATGCTGTTGCATATGGCGCAATTTCACCTTAAAAAAATTGCTGAGGGCCAAAGAGAGAGTCCAGGGGTTAGAGCAATCCCTGAGCACAGTGCCCCCACCAATGACAATGAGCTGACAAGAACCCACTGAGCACAGCACCGTGTCCTTTATTTGATCACTTGCTGCCAGATGCTCAAGGTTAACAACCATCAGGAGAAGAGAACATGGGGCTTTAGGAGGTGCTGACAGACGAATGAAAGGAAGCAGCTCTCGACAGAAGCTGACAGAGGCGACACTCAAACAGAAGGAAGACCACGGGGCACAACGCAACTGCGTGGCTCAGTGAATAATAATAATAATAATAGAAACAAAATAATAAATAATATAAATGCAATTAAAAAGTAGAAAAACCTGGGGGCCAGTGTAATAGTGCAGCAGGTAAGGTGCTTGCCTTGCCCGCGGCTGACCTGGGTTCGATCCCCAGCATCTCCGATGCTTCCCTGAGCACTGCCAGGCGTCAGCCCTGAGCACCACCAGGTGTGGTCCCCAAACAAACAAAACAAAACAAAAACTGAAAAACAATGAAAAATGCAAGAGTCGGCTTGCTCTGCCGGCCACACTCTGCCTTGAACACGCATCTCCCTCGCTTGCCTCTGTGTCTCTGCTGGCTCTTCCCACTCGGGAGAAGCCCTGGTTTTCTCTTGAACAAGCATTTTCTCTCTTTTTCTCCCCTCACATATTTCTTTTCTTTTCTTTTTTTTTTTTGACTTTTTTTTAAATTGAATCACTGGGAGATAGACCCTAACCCCCTCACATCTTTCTAAGCAAGTTTCATTCAATAAAAACTACATTGCTTCACACACACACACACACACACACACAAAAAAAAAAAAAAAAGGTCAAGAGTGGCTATTTGTAAAGTTAACAAAATAGATAAATCCCATATGCCCTTCCACCCCGCCCCAGCACCACCAGGAGTGATTCCTGACTGCAAAGCCAGGAGTGACCTCTGAGCACCTCCAGCTGTGACCCCCAAACCAAAAAGAAAAGGGGATTACATCAAATAAAAAAAGTATCTCCATGTATCAATGGAAAAACATCAAGAGCATAAAAAAGCAACCTAATGAAGTGAGAGAAAAATATTTGCAGACCATGCACCCAACAAGGGGTGAATATCCAGGATATGCAAGTAACTCTAAAATTCAAGAACAACAGAAACAAATTAAAAAAAAAACACCAACAAAACAAAACAAAACCCAAACCTTTAAAACCAGGTAAATTTGCTTTGAAAAGGGGCAGAGGACCTGAACGTACATTTCTCCAAAGTCGACCTCCAAGCAACTGAGACGCCTTGGACATGAATGTCACGGAGCAAGAGAGAAGCACAAAGCTAGTGTCCCTGTGAGACACGGCCTCCTCTCAGCAGGTCAGCCACCATCCAGGGAGAGAAAACAACAAACGCTGATGACAAGCGGGAGGAATCAGAAGGTGGCAGTGTCTGTGCCAGTCAATGCCCACCTGAGCAGGACACAGGCAGGTCCTCCTGGCTCTGAGATCAAGGATTGCTCTTAGCAGGGCTGGGGGGACCCCATGGGATGCCAGAGAGGGGTCAACCTGGGTTGACTCCGATCAAGGCAAGTGCCCCTCCCTGCTGGCCTCGCTCTCCACCCACGAGTCTTTACAAGTTCTTCTTGCTAACCTCGCACCAGCAGAATGACACACAACAGTGAGAGCCCCCAACATCCCGGCGCACTGCAGATGAGTGCTTCAGCCCAGATGAGGTACTGTGACACGAGATTTCTTCCTAGAGCTTAAGAAGCCCTACAGAAACAAGTCTCTCAGAACTCACCAACAATCCACAAAGCTGAGAAAACCCTGTGAGATCTTGGTTGGGAAGGAGAGCTATTCTGTGTGCACAAAAAATGTTTAAAAGAGGTGGTCAGAGAGATAGGACAGCCGGGAGGGTGTTTGCCTTGCATGTGGCCAACCCGGGTTCAATCCCCGGCATCCCAAAGGGTCCTCTGAGCACCACCAGGAGTAATTCCTGAGTGCAGAGCCAGGAGTAAGCCCTGAGCATCACCAGATGTGACCCAAAAGTGAAAAACAAAAGTTTAAAAGACACAGGGTCAGACACATAGTCCAATAAAGCACTTGCTTTGCAGGTGGCCCACCTCGGTTCTATCCCTGGTACCCTCTCTGGACCCTTGAGCCCCTCTGGGAGTGATCTCTGAGCACAGAGCCAGGAGTTAGTCCTGAGCACCGCTGGGTGTGCCCTCACTACAATCAATCAACCAACCAACCAACCAATGTTCTGCTGCTTGCCTAGAATCAGCCCATGAGGTGGGAACATTGCAGGATCAGGCACTTCACTGTCCAGAGCCAAACGACCTAGGAAAGCAGCCTCGCTTATAAGACAAAAAGTTCATCATGGCAACCGTGAAGCACTGTAGCACTGCGTTTGGCATATCGAATACGTCACAGGTAGCTTGCCAGGCTTTGCCATGTGGGCGAGATACTCTCAGTAGCTTGCCGGGCTCTCCGAGAGGGGCGGAGGAATCGAACCCAGCTCCGCTGGGCCGGCTGCGCGCAAGGCAAACGCCCTACCGCTGTGCTATCACTGCTGTACATCAGTGAAATCAGAGAAAAAGGAGGAGGCAGCCACGGTCCATCTGATGGGCAGCCCAGAGTCCCGGGTGGGCCCGCGTGAAAGTCTGAGCGTGTCCAGTGCTGTAGCCATAGGCTGCTCAGGCCGGTGAGGCCTGGATCCGGGGCCTTCCGATAGAATGCTTTTTCGTCGTGTGGTTCTCAAAAGCACCTGGTGTACGGATATGGAATGGTGCGCTACCCTCCGGCCGGTGAGAGTGGGAGGGTCCGAGGAGCTGACCCCAGCAGCCTCGGGATAATGCCAACCCACCTCGTCCTGTCAACACATCAAGTACTAAACTTCCTGCCAACTTCAGATCAGATGCGCAGTGGGAAAGAGCACAGGAGCAGATATAGACGGTAGCACTTAGCTTAAACAAAGAGCCAGGACAGCTTCCTTACCTTCCCCCGGGTCCCGGCACCTACCTTTTGGTTGTGGCTGGCACGGTGGCCCGGGCGCCAGAGGGGGACGTGAGGGAGCCCCCTGGATTCTTTGGTAATACGGTGCCATTGTTCACGGTGGTTCTGAAAGGCAAGGTCTGCACCAGCGGTCTCGCTGCAAGAAAAGCAGAAAAAGGACTCAGAACTGCATCGTTGTCACTGGAGAACTGCATACACACAGGGAGATCGGGCCTGGAGAACTGCACACGTGTGGGGAGATCGGGCCTGGAAAACTGCAGATGAGCGGGGAGATCAGGCCTTGGCTGGGAAGGCCCGCGGAGCTGTCCAAGGTGTGTCCTGCTGGTGTAGGGCATCAGCAGACAACAGTGGGGAGGAGGGGGCATCTGGGACGTCCCCCACTCCCCACACAGAAATCAACTCAAAATGAACTGGGACCACCGTGCAAAATGCAAATCACGCAGAATCCAGACCAAAGCACGAGGCACCCCTGGGAGCTTGGGGTGCCGGGTCACGGCGCAGAGGCGGCTGGGATAGGACACCGCGCAGGGCATGAAAGACAAGCCCTGCGACGGGGCAGTCTCTGTGAATCCCCTCGGATAACGGATTTGTCTGCAGACTGTGAACGGCCCCAGAAAACAACCCAATTACAGAGTGGGCAGCGGATCTGAACAGACCCTACCAAAGGAGAGATACAGATGGCGAATAAGCATATGAAAAGATGCCCGCGCCCTTTGTCATCAGGGAAATGCAAATGGCAACAATAATGAGAGACCCCTCTACCTATGCGGATGGCCGCAGTCCAACCAAACAACCACCAGACAGACAGCAGACCCAGACCCGACCCAGGAGCCCAGCCACAGACGAATTGTCATTCTGGGGACGGGAAATGCGGGGTGGAGGGGTGGGGGGTGGGGGGCTGTGGATGGCGCCTAGAGCCACACTGAGCCCCCAGCGGGTCCAGGCCCTATGCAGGCGGCTCAGCTGACCCCAAAACTCCCGTCTACGCAAACCTGTACTCAACCCCTCTCCACCGGCAGCAGCTGGAAGCGACCAAGGTATCCCTAGGGCTGTGTGACTCAGCCAACGCTGGTGGCCGCGCAGGCGAGAGCAGCGGCCAGGAGACTTGTCAAAAGAAGGACAGTCCACAGCACGTGGCCAAGCAGGCCCCCATGCAGGGGTGACGTCCCATCCGAGCTGTTTCTATGGCAAGTCTAGAAAAGGCAACACCTGCACAGTGGGGGGGGGGGCACGGTGGTTTATGGGGGTAACGGCTGTTGGCTCCGCTGAGGCGGACAGGGGACCACTCTCTGGGTCTTTGCTCAAACCCGCAGACTCGCAAAGAGTGGACTCTAATTAACGTATGCAAAGAAAAGCCCTTGGGGGGAGACCACAGCTCACAGGAGTAAGGCTCACGGGAGTAAGGCTTAGGAGTAAGGCTCACGGGAGTGATGATTACGGGAGTCAGGCTCACGGGAGTAAAGCTTAGGAGCAAAGCTCACAGGAGTGAGGCTTAGGAATAAGGCTTAGATAAGAGGCTCACAGAGTAAGCCGCGGTGCTGCTAAGGACAGGAATCAGAAGCGTCAGAGTCCCTGGTGGGTAGCGCAGCACTCCGTGGGCAAAACTGCCGCACACAGGGGCCTGTGGCATGTGGGGGTACCAGGTGTGAACAGGGCAGTGAAGGGACTGCCATGAGGGCCAAGAGACCCGCCTTTCCCCGCGGGAGACACCAGAATGTTCCGTGGGGTCACGTATCCACAGAGACGCTGTCACAGTGAACTCAGGCTCAGCTGAAGAGAGTCACAGGCATGAGTGGATTAACACACGGCCGGGGGTGGGCCGGGGCTCACAGACCCTCGCGGATAAACACACAGATGGTGTGTGTGTGTGTGGGGGGGAGTTGAGGCTCACAGACCCTCACTCTGTGCCCACGGCCTGGTCCACGCTACCATGAGAAGCCGGGGCTGCCTCTGGGGCCGGACACTCCCTGAGCGCGGGGCGACTGGCCATGCCCGAAAGGGCACAAACGGCGAAGAACAAAGTCCCCCAGTGGGGGTAAGTTACGGGACACGTATAGGAGCGACTCGGCAAGCCGGGCCGCAGGGCTCAGCAGGGGAGGAAGGGGGTCGGGGCGGACCGGGCGGGAGAGCCACGCGCGTGGACAGCAGCAAGGGGAGTGTGAGGGGCAGATGGGGAAGAAGCGGCCGCGGGCAGCTCCCACGGACTGGTGACTCCACCCTGCTTCCTCCCGCCACGAAGCCCGGAGCTTGCGGGGGGGGGGGGGGCAGAGTGTCAGCCGGAAGGACCCGAGGACCAGGCGGCCACAGCAGGATCCCGAAACCAGAGGAAGCTTGGGAGATGTGGGGTGCCCCGCGTGAAGCCACGCCCGAGCCCCGTGGCCATGTGTCCGCACTGAGTCCCGACTCGGCCGTGACAGCACCTGCCCCACAATCACTCCACTTACCGCCCTCTACCCCGACTCAAAAACCCAAGTCACCCCCTCAGGCCCCTCCTAGGCTTCATTTGCAGGAGCACCTCGGCACCTGCACCCAATACTCCTGGGAAGGGGCCTGGGAATGTGCATTCCCAACGGGGTCACGGGTGGGGGGCGCTTTCCAGCCCTCCCTGACCCCACTCTGCCCCCAGCCCTGCTGGCACCCCACAGTGCAGCCTGCAGCACCCCCAGATCTGGGGCAGCACATCTGGACACAGGAGGGTCAGGTGGGACGCCGGGGTCCTCAGCCCACACTGTGTACGGCCCTTGGGCTCCCACGGGTGCCGGAGCAGAGGGACACCCAGATTTTGAGAAGTTCTGTCCATGATTATAGATATTCAAAGGTGCTATTGGGGCTGGGGCAATAGCGTGTAGGGCGCTTGCCTTGCACGCGGCTGACCCGGGTTCGATTCCCAGCATCCCATATGGTCCCCTGAGCACCGCCAAGGGTAATTCCTGAGTGCAGAGCCAGGAGCAATCCCTGTGCATCGCCAGGTGTGACCCAAAAAAGCAAAAAAAAAAAAAAAGGTTCTATTGGCCGAATAGAAACCCAAAACATGGTGCCGAAGCCACAGCACAGCGGGATGGGCATTGGTCTCGCATGTGGCTGACCTGTGTTCTATCCCCAGCATCCCATATGGTCCCCTGAGCACCACCAGGAGTGACTCCTGAGTGCAGAGCCAGGAGTAACCCTTGTGCATCGCCAGGGGTGACTCAAAAAAAGTCAAAAATAAATAAACAAGTAAATAAAAACAAAATGCCTTAAAAAAATTTAAAAAAGAAAAGGAAATTCAAAAATAGGACTGGAGAGATAGAACAGATGAGAGGGTGCGTGCCCTGCATATGGCCAACCTGGGTTCGGTCCCTGGCATCTTATATGGTTCCCTGAGCCCTGCCAGGAGTGATCCCTGAGCACAGTGCCAGGAGTCAGGCCAGGAACAGCTCAGTGTGGCCCAAAACAACAACAACAACAAATCCAAAGAGGGGCTGGAGATGGGGGTGGGAGGGATACTGGGACCCGTGGTGGTGGGAAATGGGCACTGGTGGAGGGATGGGTATTTGATCACTGTATAATTGAAATCCAAGCACAAAAATTTGTAAATCTACAACTGTACCTCATGGTGTTTCACTAACAAAAATTTAAAAACAAAACAAAACAAAAAAAAGAGGGGTTGGAGTGATAGCACAGCAGGTAGGGCGTTTGCCTTGCATGTGGCCGACCCGGGTTCGATTCCCAGCATCCCATATGGTCCCCTGAGCACCGCCAGGGAAAATTTCTGAGTGCAGAGCCAGGAGTGACCCCTGTACATCACTGGGTGCGACCCAAAAAGAAAAAAATATCCAAAGATAATGAGTCAACTCTCCAATGTTCAGTTTTATGAAATATATATTAGTTTTTGTTTGTTTGTTCATTTATTTTTGGCTTTTTGGGCCACACCTGGAGATGCTCAGTGGTCACTCCTGGCTCTGCACTGAGGAAATCATTCCCGGCGGTGCTCAGGGGACCATATGGGATGCTGGGGATCGAACCCGGGTCGACTGCGTGCAAGGCCAATGCTCTCCCCGCTGCGCCATCGCTCCAGTCCCTATATTTTAGTTTTTGAGCTACTCCCAGTGACGCATTTGAAGCCAGACAAGCAAACTGCTCTTTGCTAAGTTGGAGGACAAGTACATGGGGGCTGAGGAATGGCAGCCCCACCCCCCACACACGCCCCCTCCAGGACATGAGAGGATCACGAGAGGATCATGAGAGGATCACGCGGTGCCCCGTACCTACACGGCAGGAAGCTAAAGCCCTGCCACAGGTCTGAAACCCGAACAAATAATTCCGGGCCGGGGAGATGTGCCCAGGGCTGAGCACGGTCCCTGGCATCTCGTTGGGCCCCCGCTGCCACCACGTCCGATGTCGTCTCTGAGCACCACTGGGTGCTGCTCCCACCCCCACCCCCCAAACAAGCCACGGTTCAGATCCGGAAGAATGCCGGCACATCACGTGAGCTAAAGGTCCTCAAGTGCTCGGGACAGAGAGAGACGAGACCGTCACCTCTGGCAGCAGGTGAGGCCCCGCGTGGCGAGCTGGGATTCCCAGGCAGAGAACAAGGGCCCGTTGGCGGGGCAGGACAATGCAAATATTTATGGCACCAAAGACTCACTAGGGAGTAGATAGCGAAAGCCGCTTAGTAGCAACTCAAATATCCGCCGCCCCGGAATGGAGAAAGGAGCGGGGTGGGGGGGTTCCCTGACGCTGCTCTGGGCGACGGACCTTGAGCTCGCCACACCTGGGAGAGCGGGCGGGAGCCACTGATGCAAACCCAGTGGTCACGTCCACGGGCACGGAAGATTGACAGCTGCTGGGCGGGGAAGACGGGGACCGGGGAATGACAGTTGAGGGGTGTGGGGTCTTTCTTTCTTTCTTCCTTTCTTTCTTTCTTTCTTTCTTTCTTTCTTTCTTTCTTTTTCTTTCTTTCTATTGAATCATCTTGAGATACAGTTACAAGCTTTCATGTTTGAGTTTCAGTCACACAATGATCAAACACCCATCCCTCCACCAGTGCACATTCCCCACCACCAATGTCCCCAGTATCCCCCCCTTTCCCACCCTCCCCCTGCCTCCATGACAGACAATTTCCCCCATACTCTCTCTACTTTCAGGCATTATGGG